GTCCACACTTGCAGTATTTGAGAAGACAGGTGGTAGCATGCATGGGTGGGTAGTCATTGCCTTCTGAGCTTTGGTTACAACCTTGTTTGCATTGTCTCTGATGTGTTCTGGTGAGTGGCTCACATAGAATGGAAACTGTGACCTCACTCTTAGCAAGCAACTGTCTACTTCATGAAAAATGCTCTGAATACTGAGGATAATTGAAGCAGAGGATGGTCTGAGATGGTAGGTCTGATTCTGAAAAGGGGATGTTTCATCATCTATACCAAGGAGACATCCTGAGGCCTTACGTTATATTACAAAGTTATTTGCATCTGTTGGTCATGATTGGGATCCAATACTGGGAGTCCTTCAGGCTGGTGGGTGGTCTGAAAAAAAAACTAAGTGTCTGAGTACTTGCAAACTGGAGTATCTGCCAACCACTGTACATAATTTGCCCTGGGCTGGGGCTGAAGCAAACCAAAAGGGGAGGAGACTGAACAAGTTATAGAAGTCATGGCTGTCATGTGAAATACTCACACACAGTAATTAAGCATGCCATGAACTAGTAAGCTAAGAGAACTTAGAAGAGACCATGCTGAGGCAGTAAGGAAGCACTTAATGAGTGGTCAAGTTAACACTGCCCAAAAGTAGGTCTGAATATCTGCATGATAGGTATTTTTTTATTTATTTATTGCCCTTGAGTCTTACAGGCCCAAAGTGCTCTATGTATGCTCTACTTCATTGTGCAAACTTTTACTGTTGAATCAGGAGCTATTTTACATAAGCTTTACATAAGGTATGGGGTTCAGGTTTTCTTTTCTGGAATTGGGACTCTCTGAATCTTCCTTCATGTTTAACTTCCCTATCTTCTTCCCTTAAGGTCTTTTTGAAGCTTTTCTCTGCAATCCTAGGATAGAAGCATGGTTAAATAGGAGCATTTTACACAAAAATCCTTGGTCCTGTTCAGTTTAGCTTCTTTTGCCTCGGAGTAGGAAATCCATGCTGAGAATTATTTTGCAAGAGCTGTTCCTGAATAGCACAGTGGGTAGCTGTACTCAGTGCACCTAACAATGGCTTGGCAATTCCAAGGCATGGGCATTTAACCTCTCAGCTCTTGTGTGATGTGTGCTGGACACACAAAGCTGTTGCAGCCTGCTCAGGATGGGAGTGACGAGTGGGCTTAAGTGAGATGAAGCAGTAAATGCTGCCCTTCAGACAGGGAAGTCTCAACTCAGCGTTTACATATTTCTTTCCTCCAAAACACATAGAGTAATGGTGAGGTGGGGAGCACCTGATTTTGAGGAGATGAAGACTCAAGTATTACCAGGTTTACAACATCTTAAGAAGCTGATCCAAAACCCATCAAGCTCAGTGGAAAACCGCCAATGTTTTGAAGAGTGTCTGGATCAGGCCCTTAAGCCCAGCTCCTGCAATTTGGCACCCTGTTCTTTGTGCAGCTGAGTAATCCTCATCCCAGTCCTGTACTCTCAGGAAGTCAGAGCACAGCAATGTGCTAGCAGGCTGCAGGGGCCGCCCTCTGAAATGGCAGAGGGCCTCCTTTCACCTTGTCTTAGGCATGCAGAATAGCCTGAACACAGCTGTGTCTCCAGACTTAAATTTCCCATGAAGCTTTGTCTTCTTTGCAGCTGGATACCTGAACCACCTGGAGCTGTGGAGGGACTTGCAGGGATTTAGACGTTCTGAGTCAATAATCTGGAGATGGTTTTGGAAACTGTTAAACTTTTGTTCATTGCTTCTTGTGTGGAGGAAGTGAGAGTGTGGATCTTTAACCCCCTGGAAGTGATTAGAGATGAAAAGCACAAAGGAGGCCTTGATGATCATTTTGCCCCTAAGCCATGTGGTTCCTACCTTTCCGGCTCCTGCTGCTGACATGCAAAGCCAGAGCCTTGGTTTTTAATTTTTCATACTGTTTTTAAACAGATACTTTTGCAAATGTAAACATGCCCCAGCACTGAAGGTTTCCAGCCAAATTAAAGAGTCAACACTGGAAAAATCAGCCTTCAGAGGAAGGTCAAATACAAGCAATCCCTGGAGTTCATTGGGTCCATATGTGTAAACTTCAGCTAATACGGGATAGAGCCAGGGCAGCACTTACCTTGCAGTACTGAGCTAGTTTCAGAGTAAAAGGCTGAAACTGTCCTTAGGGATGCCTGTGGTCTGAGCAGTAGACTTGAATGTGTTGAATGCAAAAAGAACCCATGTTCTGACTCTTGGTTGCAGTTCCATTCCATCTTAACAGAAGGAAAGAAAGTTGGGAAGGAAAATGTGCCATTCGGCATTAATTCTGACAACTTGCATTTATACATTCTTATCTGGGACCATGCTGAGTTTAATAATCTCCAACTATATGCCTATAAAAGCTTAATTTTGCTATGAGGATGCATGCTTTTCAGCCTTTAATTTAATAACTGGGAAGGGTTTCTTTATAAGTTGTACCACCTGCAGTAGTAATAGAAATCAAGACACTGCCTGTTATTTCTTGGGCTTGATTGACATTTGAACCAACTTGGAAAGATTCAAGGAAACTACTGCCTTTAATTTTTTAAAAATTATTTTTACCTGTAGTTTGTCAGAGCTTGCCATTAAAAGGAAGAACTGATGAGTGTACCTCTCTGAAGTGAGGAGCTTTTGCTTAGAGCAGCAGATGAAGACATATTCTTCCTGCCACTGCACTGTAATAGTAGGTTAGTTAGTAGGAGAGAGTTGGTAGAAGAGGAGGTAAAATGACAAGAGAAATTATGGCCTAAAAGCAGGATCCTTAAAAGGTATCATCATTATATAGCAATCCCCTAATCCCACCCCCATCAGCCAGCAGAAATGCCAGAAGATCTGCAGCACATGTCAGCCAGCTAACCTGCCTGAAAGGTGTTATTGTTGCTGGTTCTGCTGCTTGGCTCAGAAATGTCTCCGCAGCTAAAGAGCTACAGGAAAAGAAGTCAGAGCCCCATTAGTTAGGAGAATGCCAGAGGTGAAACTGCGGTGCCTCCCTGGTGCTAGTACATCATTAAGGGTCCCAGAGGAGTGTAGGAGGTGGAGATGCTTGAAGGTTAGACGGGCTGAGTTATTCCTTAACTCATGCCTTTTCATTGAAGAGCAGAGGAGGTACACGTGTTGTGTGTGGTTATGCGGTGTGACAGGAATGCTGAGAAGGGTTGGAAGCCTTCAGCTCCCAGCAACGGAGTTTTTAGATTGTGAGGATGGAGGTCCCGCTGTTGGAGAGATCCTGGCAGCATTCCAGTTCAGCAGGGCATGGAACCAGGCCTGATATTGTCCAGCTCCATGGTGAGGGACCCCAGGAGCCAGCTATGGAATGTGGTGGTGCTCAGGACAGAGGCAGAACAAGATCCTGCTTTGGAAAGAGAGGCAAACCATGTAGAGTGTAGGGACTTATATATATGTATATATATGTTTTCTTAAGGTTTTGATAACTTAAGGGCTTGATTAAATTTCATCTATTCCTGGAGGGAGAAAGGACTTGAAATCGCTCAACAAATATCCCTGCGTCAAAGGTTTTATACCGTTACACGTCTGTAATTCCATAAACATGCCAAGACAACAAAGGCCTTAATGAGATTCCTCATCAGCATTGTCCTCTCACCCCTGTGGAAAGGGGAACTAATGCCTACAACAAAGCATTCAAACCTGACTGCCTTCAGTGAGACTACTCAATTTATCATTGGGGATATAAAATGAGCATGTGGAGCATGTTATTTCAGAGCTCTTTTGAACTGGTCTGAATATATCATTATTGTTATGAGTCATCAGGTCATTGGCCTGTGTATTGGTATCTTGTTGGCGTGAGGCCAGAAGATAATACCTTTCATGTTGAGCCTCCTGGATTCAGTCCTTGAGTGAGGCAGAGTTACTTGTCAACAGGTCACAGAGGAATATACTGATTTGGTCTCAGTTGTGCCTTGCTCCCTGAGATATTTGGTGTTCTCCATGTTATTCAGATATAGTAGTTAACAGTTCTCAGTAGAAGTCCTCACAGTAGAGCTGGACGACTTTCTGAAAGATGCATTTAAATCTATTCCCAGTTATTTTGTGCTGTAAAGGTGTAAGGTGAGAGGAAATTCTGTGATCCGTAATACATACAAGGTCAAAGTTGGTAGTGGTATTGAAAGCTGGGATCCTGTGAATGCCCTAGCATCATGTCTGAGTACCCTAAAAACAGTAATTCACCTTTTCCTTTAAACAGGTGTGTTTCTTATTACAACAGGGCTACCTGTCCTAGATCTCTCAGTTGATGTTGTGTTAATAGATTAGCTTCTAGAAGAGTTTTGCCTCTGTGAGGAAAGCATAATCTTTTGCTTTCCATTCAACCTGTGTGATTGCAGTTTGGACAATTTCCTAGATTGGCAAATCTGAGCTAGTTGATAGAGCCAGCCTCAAGCTTGTGCAATCACTCAGCCACAAAGATGCTGTGATGGCACCCCACCATCTAAAAGTGAAGGAATGATTTAACTGATAGGGATCTGAGATGTTAGGTGAAGTGAAACCTAGAAGAGAACCTAAGACCTGAAAGAGAAGGTAAAACCTTTCACTGGAGCAGCCGGGTCCTGAGTGCAGATCACCTGTACTCTAAGAAGGCCTTACCTTCTGCTTCTGGTGGGCAGCAGTTTCCCTTTGGTTAGCACAGAGGAAAAGGCTATGGAGGTGTTATGGCAGGTAGCCTTGTCCTGTTACACCACTTAATCCTCTCACTGAAGATGTTTCCTCGGTTTTAACAGAAGTAAATTGAGCTGCTGCTGTCTCTGAAACCAATGCTGACACTCCATTTTGGATGTGAAAATAAGTGCTGAGACAGCCTTGTGTTTATGTGAGGGGTTTTTGCACATTCTGCTGAGAATCATAATGAATAGAAGCCCTTTAAAGAGGTTATTAATTAGCCTTCCCCTGACAGATGACTTGGTAGGAAATCCATTAGCGGATGTCCGGGTGAACTCACTGCTTTTGGAGCAGCTTTATTATTTTCTGTTTTCTCATTTTCATTGCAGATCTGAAGCCCTGGGTGTCAAATTTCACCTATCCGGGTGTGCATGACTTTTCTCAGCTTGCACTGGATGCCAACAGGAACCAGCTCATTGTGGGAGCAAGGTAAAGATAATCTTTTAATTAGTCTAGGGTGGCTGCTCAAGCTCTTTCCCTTCAGGTTGTAACTTCAGAGGAGAGTGTGTTTCCAGCTTATGTGTCCAGTTTCCTCCTCAAAAAGAAAGCTATAATTTATGTAGAGAGATTGAGATGTCTAGTATAATTGCAAAGAAGAGAAAATTACTGGAATTAAAAAAAAAAATGCAATCAAAATGACTGGTTAATGAAGCAGAATGCTGGCATCTCACTCAGTATTGTGAATGTTAGAAGAGCTACAGTAAATCATTCTGCATCATCCTTCTGCCAGCACAGAATTTGACATCATGGTTTATTTGCTGAGGCCAGACTTTCCCTCAGAACCAGGTTCATCTGTGCACCTTTGTATAAGTCATAGTGGCAATGTGAATGGTTGCTTTCTTCTCTCAGAATTCACTTCAGAACCTGTTTGCTTCATCTGGCTGATACGGTCACATTTTCATGCAACTGTTCTTCTGGCCCATTGTATATAATTAGCATATATTTTCCTTTATTTTTAAACATTGTTTTTATTTAGAATGCCATAGGAGGGGGGTGGAAACACAGAAGATGAGCAAGGCAAGCTCTTACAAATTTAGAGCTGCATTTGTAATGGGAAAAAGAGCTGTGCTTCAGTGAAATAATACACGTCAGGAGTTGTTGAATCATGGGCCCCAATAGCAACTATTTTTTATTGCATAATAAACAGATAAGACAAGCCAAAAAAAGAAAAAGACTAAGCATGGTCTAACAAATCAGTTTAAGTATAACATTTAGAATCTGATAACACTGTAGGAGCAGTCTCTACTGTTAATGAAAATGGAGGAAGAGACAGCTTTCTTCCCAGGATATTCAGCAGTAGAGGACAGGGATGCAAGAAGCAGAGGTAGAAGAACTCATGGTACAAACAAGAGAAAAGAGCAAGACTTGTAGCAGAAGGAGAGTCTTTTGCTTCACAGAAACAACTGAAGTGTGATTTAATATACATTTTCTGTGTGTATTTGTGCAGTAAATAATAACACTTACTTTCCTGTAGCTGTTAAAATTGCCAGAGGCCCTCCTACTTTTCATACAGAAACATTTTACTTTTCAAGCTGCGGCTTTACTTGTGCTGGGATCTTTAACCACAAAGTATTAATATTTATTACTTCAGAATGTCATTGCTTTGGGGATGGCTGTGAACAGTGCCTTCTACCAAGCATTGCACAAACACAGGCACGGTGCTCCGAGGAATTTATGCTTTACATAATTCGGCCGCACGGCAGGTTTCTCCCCACGCAGATGCTGCTAACGTTGACACGCTTCACCCCTGCTCAAATCCCAGCAACACGTCCTGGAGGGACTCTCTACCTTCCCAAGAGTTTGTACAGGTGTGGTTAGACAGGAGGCTATGATGTCATTATAAACAGGGAAATGACAGCAAGTTTGGCTTCCCGCTGGAAGTACAATATATTGCAGTGCATTGCCTCATGAGGAAGCAGTGACAAGTATTTATAGAATTTGCTTGGAAAAGTCAGTTTTCATGAAGCACTACCCACCTGACTGGGAGACTGAAAGTTTCAGTGGTGCCACACTACTGTGCTGAGAGGTTCTGGATACAGTTAAGGAAGTTGTAATTTCCCAGGGTGGGGTTTTTTGGGGGGTTGTATACAGGCTTGGTGTGGGGAAAGGGAGGAGTGCTAATCCTTTTCCTCTTCACCACCTCATTTCTCCCCTTTGTGAGGTGACAGGGAGAGAGACTTGAAAAGGGGGTGTGGAAGGGGGTGTCCTCAGTGCTGCACAGCTCTGGGTGTGCTGGGCTCCTGGAGCTGTGCCTGAGAAATGGAAAGGGGAAGTAAAGCCTTTTCTGTTCCCTCCTTCCCTGATATATCCACACCTTGTTCTAGACTATTTTTAGGGGTGATTTTTTGAGTCATTAGTTGCTCGTGCACCATCTGCTTGAATTTGCAAATGAAACAATACCTCAAAGAGATAGGAGCTGTCTCTATCCATCTCTGCAGGGTGTAATTTATGAAACCTAAATTTAAATGTTAACCACGTTTAAATGTGCTGCTGTAGATCATATTAGTAGTAACGCCAGCTATTCTGGGGTTATGGAAGGAGTTTGGGATCAGGGTGGCGTTTATAAGTACTCCCACTTCTCAATTTCCTGGTTAACATCATTGTCTTAGATGATAGCGTTATAAATTATTTCAGACTACTTCTTTCTGTCTCTATTTAAAAGCAGTATGACCTCACCACAGCATCTTTGGCTTAGTTCATCCTGTGTTTCAAAGCTTCATAGAAAATACTTCCTAGAAGAAAAGAAGATCCCGGGGCTCACAAGGGTTTTTGGTTTCAGGAATTGGACACAGCGTGACTGAAACTGTAAGAGGTATTGAGGGCATGCCATGCAGGCAGGGAGCTGGAATAACACAAGCCTCAGATTTTTAAGCTTTATCCTTATCTGAGAGCCCTCCCCAAATGACTGGTACTGTCTGAGAGTAAACCAGAGGAGTTTGATAACTCCACTGCACCAAACACCTGCCAAGTCAAAATCCCAGAAACAAAAGAATTAGTTTCAAAAGCCCACCATGGTTTCTAAGCAACGTATTTACTTGTCACATCATTTGTAAAATCCAAACACTTGCAAGTAAGGATATGAATAGTTTAGAACATTGTAAATCTACACTACCCATATTATGAGTCACATTTCATTAAGTATAAAACCACACATTTCAAATTTCATAACCTTCATTTTGACTCACAGTTTGCATGTTTTGTTTTTGTTTTGGATATAGAGTTAGTATTTTAATGTACTGTTTTTCTTCTGTGAATGAGTGCTTGTTTTGAAATATTTGCTGCTTTTTTCAGCTCTTGAGCACAAGTGATCACTATTTGAGCTTATTTTAATTGGAGGAAAAACAATTTTCTAGACCTCATTATTACTGAGAAAAAAATTAAAAATATGATCACAATGATTTCACTCATATGTTGGAGAAGAAGTTCTCTGCTCTCTCACCTGTGCTGTAGGCAGGGTGCCCAGCCCTGGGGAGGGTGGGCTTTGTAGAAAAGGGACATAGTGTAGCTGTGACATCCCACCTCCTTGAGAAGCCTCACTCCTCGAGGCTGTCTCATTGCTGGCTGGGCAGAGACAGGAGCCAGTAAAGAAGTGATGATATGAAAGACCCTGCTTGGAGTCAGGCCAAAAATCATGCTTCACAAGAGCTCCCTGTCGAGGACAACATAAAAGGTTTAACGGAGGATGGTTGAGACACCGTGTGACAATCTGGCACAACAGCAAGCTGAAGGGAAACAGCTTGGACAACAGGAGGATGGTACCCAAACAAATGACTGCACAGAGAGTGGCTGGGAAGCTGTAAGGGAAACATTTGACTTTTCCCAGAAGGAAACTGCAGGGGTGTCAGCTCGGGGCAGGAGCCTGCTGGGGCTGCGGATGTGAGAGGCATGGCTATGAGGGTTGGCCATTCACAGCGAGTGAAGGTGTTACTGTAGAAAACCAGCCAGAAAGCATTATGACCAGAAGTCCTGGCAGTTCTGCCTGCCAAGAGGGCTGTCAGCTCCATCAGGAGATGGGAAAGGACCATCCCTCATGGCTGTCGCATGGGGAGCTGCAGCTGAGGAGCCCTTGTCACAACTGGCTGTTACCAAGAAGAGCCCAGAGGTAGAGGGTAGAGAGCAAAGGCTGCATGAGGGGACTCAGAAGTGGCAAGTAAAAAGTGCACATCATCCCAGAATGCCAGACTTCTCTGCAATAAATGTAAAACTACTAAGCTGCTGGTGATGCAAGTCTTGGTGCTTTGACAGGGGTGATTTTCATACTTGGTTTAGAGCTGATCTGAATGTGCTTGTTTCTGCCAAGTAGATGCAAGAAAGGAGTTATCATAGAATCACAGAAAGACTTGGGTTGGAAGGGATCTTAAAGATCATCTAGTTCCAACTCTCCAACCTTAGGCAGGGATGCCACCTACTAGATCAAGTTACTCAGGGCCCCATTCGACCTGGTCTTGAACACTTCCAGGAATGGGGCATCATCATGATTAGTGTGGAGAGCAGGGAAGGTGCTATATGAACTTTCAAGGGTTGTTTTAGGGGGAGCACAGCCTGGGCACACCCCTTCCTGACTATTATGCTCTTGGCTGTATAAGCACTAAAAAAGCTCTGAATCATGCAGGCTTAGGAGCTGAAGGCTGAATGGAATGACTGATATCCCAAAAGAGTTCCTTCAAGTTGCAGCTTGCAGTAATATGGCAGATTGTAAATATACTCTAGGACCCTCAACCAGCAGGTTTGGCACCCTGAGTTTATTGAAAGTCTCCGGTGTATGATAGATTAATCTGTCAGACACCAGGTTACATGCAGATTCCTGGCTGAACATAGCCTGATTCCTGCCTGCTTGGCAGAAAGCTCCAGAGCACTGCAGTAAAACGTCAAAACCTGTGCTGGTTGGAAAATATCACTCTTACCCTTGGGCACCTTCAATCCTGTCCAGATCTGGACTGTCAGTAAACCTGAAGAGAATAAGTCTCCACAGATTATGTTGGATAGGCAAAAAGCACTTTGCAAAACAGGAAGTTCAGTGGTAGCAATCGGGTCAGAGTTGATCCACAGATCCACAGACTGTGATGTCTGTCAGCAGTACGTTGTGTTGCCAAATGATCAGGACCCCTCAACAACATTTATCTCCAAAGGGCTTTGGTGAGACCAGAAAGGACTAATAATTTCATGCTATAGATGAGAACCCAAGGCCCAAGGGGATTAAGAACTAGCCTGCCCTATGAAAACGCTGTGATGTTGAGCCACGTGAGTTTATTGTAGATCTGAAAGGTAGTGCAGTACTGTGCCTAACACAGCTACTCCTGCAGTGAAATTACACTTTCTGAAGATGCCAGTCAAGGTCTGCACAACATCAGAGATCTCTGCACTTGACTAAGATGGACATAGCCAAAGTTCTTCTGTGAACTCAGAAGCCCCATGGGAGAGGTGTGATA